GCAAGGTCTAGTTGCTAGGGTAAGGATCTCACAGTGGATAAGATGCTTAAACTAGTTTCTTAGGTTTTCTGGGAAGACTAAGGTTTAAGGCTTAATCTTTCCATGCCCTAAATCCTTAACCCAAAGCCTTGAACCCTTAACCCTTGACCCTCCAAACCCTAAACACTATAAATCCTCTACCCTTGTGCAGGTTCGCCGCAAAGGGTGGCGTCTCGCCCGGCCAGCGATGCGTGGTGAGGAGGCCAAAGGTTTCGGACCTCAGGCTTTAGGGATGGTCTTTTGGGACCTAACTCCTAAACCCTAAACCCCTAAACCCTAAACCCTAAACCTTAAACCCTAACTCCATAATTGCGGCTGGGTTTTGAGCAGTTTCACGGGCTTAATTGCGCCTGAAGTAAATTAGCTTTAGGGCTGATTCTTTCGATAAGTTCGGCCTCGAAACTACTCAGTGGCGCCTGCCTTTTGAGTCGTGAAGCCTTAACTCCGTATCCTCCTGCAGAAAAACCGAACATCTAGTATGTACTTAGGCCTTTTGTTAAGGGTACCTACATACCTCAAGGAGCCTAATTAATATGGAAACCCTACATTCTACCATATAGGTACTTATGACCCTTTCGGATAGGAACCTCTTCCAAGCCTCTCAGAGATTCCAATATCCCTTAATTAAGGAATATACCTCAAATTATAGTAGCCTTCATACGGTTGATGAGAAAAATCCTGCATTACCCATAATTTGGAATATACCATAATTCCCATAGTTTAGGGTCCTTAAGCTAATGCAGGAGTTATATCAACAACAGTATTATGGTTTAAGGTATATATTCCTTGATTAAGGGGTATTCCCAGACCTTCCAAAATCCCTTAATTAAGGAATATACCTTAAATCATATTAGGGATCCTACTATAATTTAAGGTCTATTCCTTAATTAGGATCTTGGAAGGTCTGGGTTGGGATCTGGTCTCAATGGGATATACTAATTGAATACATGGACCCTTAAAGAGGTATATTCCTTAATTAAACTCCTATTTGCTTAAGAAACCCACAAAAAGTAAAAATAATAATCCCTATATTACCCCCATAAGGAATATATTTTTTATTTTTTGGGGGTTCTTAAGCAAATAGTAGTAAAGGCTATTGGGATCTCGGGGCTGCTGAGCTTTTGGGGAGCGCGCGTCAGGTGCTGACGATTGTCGACGGCGAGGAGATCTCGAAGGCAGCGCTGAATTGCCCAGAGACTCCGAAATCCCTTCATTAAGGAATACACTATGCCTCCAGGGACCCTATTATGGGGTCCTTAAGGGGTCTAGGGCCCTAACTGTGAGGTCCTTGGAGGGATAGGGATATACTGTAAAGCTATACTAGGATCCAGAATATGATAAAAGGACTGTTCCTTAGTTAAGCGGTTTTGGAGTCTCTAGGTGGTGTGTCGAAGGTTGTAGGGCTCTGGCTTTCGAGATGAAAGCGACGGTTCGAACATGTGCGAAGTAGAGGGGCCTAAATGATGACCAATACTCAAAGTCTTTGTTATAACTGCACCATGATCCACCCACAAATCTTGTTTTAGCTACTCCTTAAACCCTAAACCCCTAAACCCTGTACCTACCAAACCCCTCAATACCCCCTCTGTAGAACCCGTTTTAAAGGAACCTTCTAGTCATCTAGGACGGGGGATCTTCCCATCAGGCTTGTTTAGAGCCCGCTTCCTGGTGGTGGACATGGGATTTTCCGAAAATTCGGGGTTTAGGTTTCCTTTAAAAGGATCCTTTGAGGGCTCCTTCAAGGGATCCATAAGGGCCGGGAGTTTCCGAAAAGTAGGGGTACCTTATTTTGGGTTCCTTCTAATAAGGATCCTACTACTAGGGGTTCTATATTAGGATCCCCTAGTTTCGGAAACTCCCACATAGCAAACGTCACATGGGCAGTTCTCTAAATTGGGGTCACTTTCTTGGTCCGAAAAATGTAACGGCGCCCTTGTAAAAAGAACCCCCAAAGGGACCTATACCCACATCACATCCCTTAACCCCACGTAACCGACCTTTCTAAGGACTTATATAAAGAAATCATATTAGGGAACCCTAAAAAGGTAGGTTCCTTAGGGTCCAGGTCGTAATTGTGGGTTTGTCCTAAACCCAGCAGAGAGGGCTGTAGTTCAACCGCTCAGCAACTGAGGCCCTACTTGAGCCTTTGTGTTGATTGTCTAGGTAGGGCTTTGGGACATTTTCTATTTTCCCTTATTGGGCTTAAGAGGATCTTACTGAAAAACTAATGTTTTGAAAAAGCTTTAAAAGCCCCACCTAGTTGTGCTGGTCTGCCCTTCAAGGATACTTAAAGGGTCATCGGACTTAGTAACTGGGGTTGTAATTAGGGTAAAGGTACTTTAACCTTACTTACTAAGTCCCATGATCCTCCAAGTACAGTACCACAGGAAGCAAGGGCGATATTGGGGGATGTTGGCGACCGTATACTTAAACCCCTAGATTTGAAGGAAGCTTTTAAAACAGAACCCTAAAGGAGCCCTGAAAGAAGGGCCTCTCTCTGTCCAGGCCCTCGTCGATGATGATAGCAGCATGGTGATCATGGCTGAGACGACCGACCGGGAATGGTCAGCTGAAGGGGGTTTCGAGTTTCGGGTTGACCCCATAAGGTAAAAGCCAGAAAGTTGGAATATGATTATCCTAACCCTTCTATGGTAAATTATAGGGTATCCTACCATGATAACATATTCCAACTTTCTGGAGTTCCCTGTAACTATAACCCCGCATATCTCAATCCCCTAAACCCTCAACCACGGGTTTGTTTAGGGCTCATGAGCCCACAGGGTATGTAAATCGGTTTGGCATTGGCCTTGAATGGATTCCTACCCAAGGTAATTACGACGGACCCTTCGGATTGAGCCAGTTGTGAGTCTCGTGTGTAAGTTAAGTGACGCAGCCAATGTAGACGAAAGAGCACCGGTTCTGATGTAACGCGTGCATCAACATCACTATCATCGTCATCTCGCTATGCCGTTCCTGCCTGTTTTGTATTTGGTGCTACAGGCACGATGAGAGCAACGTCGTCACGCTCCCTGAGTTTTGGATTAAAGATGAATGACGATGAGAAGCGACAGAAGACGCTGTGATGTTGGTGATGCCGATGATGCTCTGATGTCATGATGTCAGACTAGTCTGACATCTATAAGTCCAAAACACTCTGAACCCTAAACCCTGCATGCTCACCGACCATGTTGTATCTTTGGCGGTGCATGACTCCCCTAAAGGCCCCAAATCCCCGGACGATTAAGGAATAAAATTGAATCCTGACTTTTCAGTTCTCTTGGAGTCTGTGGGTGGCTCTTATTGCAGGTACGTCCTTGGCAGTGATAGCTTCGGCGCAAGCTACGAATGTCCAGGTGGACCTGGGGATTGAGTGCAGTTTCCAGGAGGTGCAGGGCTTTTGGGAGAGGTTGGGGCTTAGGGTTTAGGGTGTGTTCGATAGGGTAGTTTCCCAAAATTAGGGGTCCCTACTTTGGGGGTCTCATAATAAGGATCCCACTGTTTAGGGTACTATATTAGGGTCCCCTATCTCGGGCACTCCCATATAGGGCCTTAGAATTCGGGATTAAGTGGAGTTTCCCTGGAGTTCAGGGTCTTCCTCCGTCAAAGCCTAGGACCCAGAGTATGCCCTCATTCCCTTTTTAAGGGTTTAGGTTCCCTTATAGCCCCCTTTATCCCACAAAGGGCACCCTTTTTATTCCTAGGTTACTCTTGGGTCTAGAAGCTCGACCTGGGAGGCATTGACATCAAGGATGACTCGCCAGACTCCAAGGTGCCATGGGGTTCCTTGAAGGGGGGTTTAGGGGTTTAGGGTTTAGAGTTTAGGGTTGAGGGCTCCCTTCATCCGTCGATTGAAGGGTTTAGGGTTGAGGGTTCCTCGAAGGGTTTAGGGCCCCTGCCCCTGTTCCTTTCAGGGCTGATTCGGGTTGAGGGTTTTGGGCTCAGGGCTGAGTGTGCACGGCTTCGGGTTCAGGGAAGCATGCAATAAAAGAGTACTTGAAGGCTCATGGGACTTAGTAAGTAAGGTTATAAGTAGGTTATAATTAGGATAACTCCACTTAGGGGACTTATAACCCCAATTACAACCTACTTACTAAGTCCCATGATCCTCTAAGTACATGAGCCACGGTCCAGAGCCCTGCAGCGACGGTTTAAGCTATCACCATCAGCTGCCTGGACCCCAAAAGTATGTAGAATAACAGCCTGTTCGAGGTTTTGGTCCATTATTTCACCTACTTTCAGGGTCTAGGTGAAAACTATCTAGCTATCTCTGCAATCACAACAAAGAGCGTACCCGAAAGAGCCCAAGATGTGTTTTGACGGGTACCTGGCTCGCTGGGAGCTGTGTCAAGAGTCTCGTTTAGAGCTGCAAGGTCACAAAGGTTCCTGTAATAGAGGGGCCTTAATAATTGGAATAGGGTTTTGCGGGTTCGTTATATACCGCCAAACCCTATTCCAATTATTAAGACCCGTGTATTACGTAGCTGCTAAGTTTAAGCGGATCCCTCCTGTTCCGGGAAGCGTTCTGTGTCGGGCGTAGGGGCTTAGTGTTGGTAAATCTGACAACCTGGCAAAAGCACTCCAGGAAGGTTTATGGGCCCATATAGCATACACTTATTAGGCATGAAAGTGGTTCCTATACAGGCACGTTTAGGAAAACCCTCAACCCGGAAACCCTTAACTTCAATCTCAATCATGCTTTTCAGGCTCATGGGACTTATTAAGTAAGGTTATAATTAGCTATACCCTGAAAGCGGTAGCAATGATCGGATGCCGAAGATCTCAGGTGTTAGATCGCAGGGGTTCGAGACAGACCTGAAAGGCGAGGCGAAGCGTCGCTATGGCGGTCGTCACACTCTTTTTCCCCTTGATGCTTGATCACACTGCGAAAGACAGACATCTCATGTCTGCACGAGAGTATGCCAAGTGTTCGCACTTGCATGCACCCCTCCCCGGAGCAACTTTCATGAGTTAAACACAGATTTTTGCACTTCCACACTCGTCAAGGGTTCGATGCCTTCCGACTTTCTCTTCTTGGCAGACCTCATCTCGGGATCCTCCACAATCTTCCACTGATGCCCCATTCGGTAGAATAATTCCAGCTCTTGGCATGGCCCGGCCTTGGTCAGGGCATTAGAGAGCTGCGCCTCCGAATGCACCCATCGGATACAGGTTCCCAGGCGTTCCTGAGACTCCTTGAGACTCAACAGCTCCAGCAGGGTTCTTTTCTCAGCTCCCTTGAATGCCATGGTTTCGGTAATCAGCTTGTCGTAGACATTTCTTGAGTCAGTGATGACTCCTCCTGGAACACGTCGTACTGCTGCGTCAGGATCGTGCACATTGATGTCTCCGTAAAGAAGTTCGGACCATTGGTAGCGACAGTAATAGAGAGCATCCTCGCCATTCACTGCCGCCTGAGCTTCTGCTGCCCCTGGGCTTCGACAAGCCCTGTCAATCTTGTTGCTATGCCAGCTAATAACAGAAATCTTACCCAGGGAACCCTCAAACAGAGACTCAGGACCTAGCCCTACTAGTATGCCCTGTGTGCTGCTTCCATCTCGGCGGTTTTGGCTGCCTGCGTCCACCCAGGCGTAGAGGGCCAATGGTTCATTCTCGTCAAAGGCATGAATCTTCATCTTGTGCACTCCTCTGGCCTTAGTATTGTAGAGTAGTCGATTGGCTCGTACAATGGTGTCCGTAGTCGCCTCGGTAACTTCAGACAACAACAAACTCACCTCCGCCGATATGTGGGGAGCCACTTGCTGAGCATGCCAGCTGAGCGCTCCCAGCTGAGTCCTTAGTAGTGACCGCTCCCGTTCCGTCACGGGAGCGCCCTTGTCGCGCTTGCGACTGGCACTCAAGTTGATCTCTCGGACCTCATCCAGGTAGGTCGGCTGGGAAAGCTCGTAGCCGTCAGCCACCTTGTCAATCTTTACACCACATTGTACGAAGTGTTCTGATTCCCAGTCGCTCCAGCGAAACCGCTCCTGGATGTTCTTTAGGATGGCCTGCCATTCAACATCATCTTGCCGTCCACTGAACATGAAGTCATCAACATGTCCAGAGATCATACCTCTCAGCTTGCCGTCCTTTCTCCACACCCAAGCACAGGAATCTGACCACAAGCGCTGTAGGCCTAGTGACTCCAGATATGATGACACTGTTCTGTACCACTCCAGTGGAGCGTCGACTAAGCCGTAGCAGGCTCGTCGCAGCCGTGTAATGCTGCCGGTAGGTAGGCCCATGGCACTGCAGATCTCGTCACAGGGAATGCAAAACATGTCCGAAGGGTATTCCCTTCCCTGTAAGAAGGCGCCGCTGACGTCTCCTTTCTGCAAATGCCACTTGTTTCGAGCTGCAAGCTGCAATTGAAACTGGCGGGTCTGACGGGTAGTAACTGGTGCCGTAGTAGCGCGATGTTCATACGCCGGGTCTTGATACCCTAAAAGCACTGCTCTCGCCTTGGCCTTCTTCGTGCCATCCTCCTTGACCTTCCAAGTTAATATCCAACGCATGCCTACAGCCTGCTCCTTGGAGGGTCGGACTTCAGGAGGAAGTGCTTCGAACGCCTTGGCGGCGACAAAGTTCCGGACCTCGACGTTCTTGGCCTCGCGAAACTGCTCCTTTTCAGCCGGCGTCATGCGCCGCTCACTCAGTTCCACGGCGCGCCTCTTCAGGGCGCCGACAAAGTAGGCGGGTAGATCACTCATGGCCTGGCGCCAGCCACGTTGGTTGGAGGGCATCTCAATCTCCACCTCCATGGCGGCCGACTGGTCGCTCCAGTAACTCGCTTCCTCTGCTACCCAGGCCTCCTCACGAACGGTATTCCACCATTGGGGACCCTCTGCAAAGGCCTGTCCCGGTTGACTGTCCTCGCGACGGGGTCGTGGTCCACGAGAGCTTGCGGCAGGCTCCTGTTCCGGGTCTTGCATCTCGGAGTCTCCTGAGGGATCTTCCTGGTACGGTCCAGGTCGCTTCCGGTTGATGCGCATGCGGACTGCCGGAATTTCCTGCGAGGGGTCCTGTGCTCGATGCCATTCGTCAAGCTCTGGAACCTCGGATCGAAGGTCCTCATACTGGTTGCCGCCTATCTGCTCGGCCACCTTAGTGAAAGTCCAAGGGACCCTCTCTGGCTGCTCTGACACGGCTTCAAGAAGCTCCTCGCGAGGAGAAGCTCTTCGGAGCTGCTCCGGACAGCACTTTAAGAGGTTCCTGCCGCGCACTAGCCACACTGAGCTGCCTGCCTTCAAGGTGCCATCCGCTTCACGTTTGGACTCCACTGCCAAGATCCGGGCGGGTCCTAAGAACCGCCCCTGCTTGGCTCCGGGTTGCCGCTTGTGGCGGCCCGACTCCTGAGTCCGCCAGAAGAAGACCAGTTCTCCTGGTTCGAAGTCCAGGCGGGGCTTATGTCGTGAGTTAGCTGCTCTGGCCAGTCTCTGATGGGCCTGCCAGTCTGAGTGGGCTTTTTCTGCCTCAGCTCTCAGACGAGCTGCCCTTTCAACTTCATCAGTGGCGTTCTCGACTAACAGCTCGGGAGGAAAACCTTGAAGGCCCTCAATGATCCTGCCAGTCTCATCAGGTTCGCGCCCCAGGGCATGTTGGTACGGCGAAAACCCTCTTATGACATCCCTCTGATTGAAGGTCCTAATCGAAGTGGCCAAAGCCTCTTCAAGGGAGATGTCGGGCTCAACTTCACACAACTTCTTGAGGATCCCCTTAACCCCTTGTATCGCTTGTTCGCAAACACCAATCTTCCAATGAGCTTCACCTGGCACGATATCTAGGAAGATCCCATGTTTGTCGCAGTAGTCAGCCACCAACTGGCTGCGGAAGCTACCAGCTGGGTCCAAGCGAAGAACCCTCGGGTGTCCGAAGTACTGGGCCCATCCCTCTTGGAAGTATCTCAAACACGACAGGGCGGTAGGCTGTTGCTTCTGTCCCTTGGTCAAAATGCGAGCCGTCCGAAACCTGGATCCCTCGTCGATAATCAGAAGAAACTGAATATGCTCGTGTGAGGTGGGGTGTTGAAAATGTCCCACATCAGCTGACACCGTGCACCATTTCGGGGGCAAGGGTTCAAGGGACGCCACATGTCGACTTGACACACGCTGTTTCTCTTCACGAACGGAACACCGAAATTGCTGGGCACACTGCAACACTAATTCCGGGGCCCCTCTACGCTTCAAGGCTTCTAACATGTGTCTAGTACTCCCGTGGCCAGTGGCAGAGTGAAGAAGATACAGCTTCTTATCGATACGTTCAATCTCCTGGCGCTGTGACTGACTAGTCGGGGTCCTACTCGCAGCCGGGGTGGTTTCGTTAGCCATCGCATGTTCGTTCTGGTTCGTGGCGCCTACCGTCGGAGGTCTAAAACCCAACTCCTTCAACTGCTGAACCTGAGCCCTTGACAACTCAATCACCCCTCGAGTGGTATACGCCGTCAGAGTGATGCGGTGACCCTTCCACGGCAAGGGAGCATGCCAGGCCTGGCTGTTGAACTGCTGCACGGTATGTCGTGTGGGGAGAACTCGTCCTTTGAGCTCTTGTCCATCCGACGTCACGATGTGTTTGCTTGAGGACCCTGAAACCTCACTATCCTCAATCCACAACCCTCCGCCTTGGTACCTGCCTAACCCCACCAAGTAGTTAGAACTTCCTGGCAAGTTGTGCTGGTCCTTGTGTGGCGGAAGCTGGTGGTTCACGTTCAGAGTGAAGGACGACCAATGGGTTTGGTTTCCTAAGTGGTGCTTCAGGAAGGAGTTTAAGTACCTAGTCGTTTGGGGAAAGTCCTGGCTCACCACGGTGGTTCCATACATTGCTCCATGACTGAAGGCTCCAAAGGTCTTGTACAAAGGTCCGGGCTGGCCTACTAGGTTTCTTCGACCCCGCAGAACACTGGGCGGTATCGACTCCAGGAAGGCTTCGCATTCCTTGAACCCGAAACCCTTCGTCTTACGTAGCTCTGAAGCACGGGCCTCTACCTGTAACCTCTGGTCCTCTGAAAGGAAGCCTTGGGCCTCTGAACTTGCTACATTAGGGGCCTTGAGTCCTTCTCCTATTTCTTCCGCCTGGCCCCCTACGCGACCCTGAACACCCTCGCTTCCCAGCAGCTCCGACGGCTTTCGGGGAGGTTCCCCGACTCCAAACACATCTCGCATAGACCCTGAAGGATCACATTCAGCCCCGGCAACTTGCACAACCGAAGCCCCTGGCACAACCGACCTCCCTGACACGCAATTAGCGCAGACCCCTAGTTCAGGCACGTGCGGAACCTCGCCACAGGTGCAGGTCTCTCCTCTTCCAAAGGAGTCGGGTAGGTTGGTCTTTCCCGCGCACTCCAAGTGCACGGCGGTGTAGCTGAGTTCCTGCAGCAGAGCGTGGGCTACGCGATTGGCATATTCCTTGGTAAACGTCTCACTGCCAGAGCTTGGTTCCTGACCTACACAAACATGACTGCTTCCCTTCTCACATCGACATGGTTTGTTAAGTGACTCCGCCAAGTTTTGGTGAGTGGTCATGATTTTGTATCCTTGTTTCATGAACTTCCCAGACTGTGCTCTGAGATTCACCACACAACCCTTGGTGACGGACACATACAAACTATGGCGTTTCTGGAACCTCTGAACCTCGGGGAGTCTCCAGGCTTGTGAAGTTTCGCTCCATGACCAAACCACGTGAATGCCATGTTGCACACAGTAGTCGGCCACACACATCCCTCCTACGTAGGTTCGCTGTGCCGCTCTGCGCTTTTCTTTCAAGCGTGCTTGTTGTTCTTCAGTCCGATTGTGCATCCTCTGGAGCGGGGAAAACGCACCACCCGGGAGATTCAGCCACACACACTGTGGTTGTTCCACCGCAATGCGCTGGAGAACGTACTTCACCCCTGTTCCCGTGGACACGTCCCCTCCGTTCCATGGGCCGCATTGGCTAGCAGCCCGATCACTCTCAGCAGCTTTACACACCGCTTCTACAATCGGGCTACCGGGTTGCCCTGCAATCTCCAGTAGCACAGGTCTCTGATACCCAACTAAGGACTGGAACATCTGGGGAACTAAGGCCCACGCCGTTTGCTCTAAGTGGCGGGCCATGGTAGAACTAAGCTGTCGACTAGAAGACGTAGGAGATTGCATGGGGCTCATTGTAGGGCCGGAATCACTCACTCGCGCTCCTTCTTGCGGGGACGTTCCTCCGAGCTTGCACTCTTGAGCTGCGCCACTTCGTTCTTGAGATCGTGTAGTGTCGACACCAACTCCCTCAGTACCGACTCGCTCACCGAAGATGCCGCCGAACTCGCCGCACTGCCGCGGCCCCGATATCCCGCGGGACTCTTCGTCTTCGGAGATGCTTTCGGTGAGGCCTTCGGGGTCTCGGGTGGAGGTTCCACCAGAGTCCACTTGGCCGTCGTCTCCTTGATAGGTTGTGCCGCCTCTTGCTCCAGCCACATCGCCAGACGTCGCAGCTGCACACACGTCTCCTTCTCCTCTTTGGCCGTCGTGCGCACCCACTCCACATACTGAGGGTACTCTGTCTCCCTGCCACTCCAACGTCGCCCCAGCGAGAAGACATTCCGGTAAGTTTACAGAAAAGGACAGCATATATTAAATATGAGCCTGCGTCGCCAGACTCAGAGACATACAATAATATGGATTTGCAGATGTTGCAGGACATCAAAATCATGATTCTTGTAAGCCCTTACAGTACCCCGAATGGGGAATATCGAAGCGAGTTTGAGCCTTATCGGATTGATCATAACCGATTTGAGCCCAATTAGAGTTTAGGGTTTGAGCCCAATTAAGGTTTAGGGTCGAGGGTCGTCAAAAACCTGTTTGGGTCTTGGGGTTGGGGTTTAGGATTTAGGGTAAGAGCGGTTGTGTTCGAGTAGTCGGAGTCTAGGATTTAGGGTTACTGCGGGTCGTTCGGGTGAGATGTTTGGGTCCTGGCCAGAGGTTTCGGATTTAGGGTCACAGCTGTTTTGTTCGAGTGTTATCTCGGGGTTGAGGGTCCAGGATTTTCGGCTGCAGCGGGTCGTTTGAGGTCGTTCGGGTGAGAGCTTCAAAGTTTCAGATTCGCTTGAGGCTGGGATATCGTTGGGTTCAAGGACAGTACATAGCTCAAGACTGCAGGGTTTGGAGCTTTAGCTTTAAGGGATAGGGTCGACGGCACTTAGGCTTCGCTTCTGCTTCGAGAAGTCTCCCAAACTTGCTTGAAGGTCTACTTGGAAGGACAGGGGACTTAGTAAGTCGTTTATAAGTATAATTAGGGTAACTCCATTTTAGGGTACTTGTAACTCTACTTTATAACCTACTTACTAAGTCCCCTGCCCTTCCAAGTAGACCTTCGCTTAAGGCCGTGGAGCGGTCTTTTTGCAGCCAGGGCGGAGTTGTGCTTGCTGCATCCGCACCTAATTTCTAATTAAGGACTTCCACATGACGAGCTCGAGTGTCCTCTTTCGCCATTCGTTTCTGTTCTTCGCACTCGAGCACCGATGCAGCTTCCATACCCAGATCACGAGCGGACTGCCAAGCCTTGAATATATACGAAATTACAGTACAAACTATAGGTTTAGGGAATCTAGGTCTTAGGGTTGGGTTAGCATAGAATAGTATCCAAGGCACAGAGTCGGAAAGAACAGCTCGCATACGGTGAAGCTTGCTGATCGTAGTTTTCCGGTGCTTCAAGAAGTACTTGATGCATTCCGCTGTGAACTTCGGTTTGGGCTCAGCGACATCTTCGTTGTGGATAGCCATCCCTAAAGCTATATGCTTGGGCAAAACAACTTTAGGACAGAATGCATCGAGACCTGTACTGCTGACTCAGCACACTGGTGGCAGAGCACACTGCTGGCAGAGCTACAGCACCGAAAGCTGGCAGAGCTACAGCACCGAAAGCCCGTTGGCCCTTCAACTCCGAAGCTTAAGTAACCGCCCAACTACTACCCTACGTATAAGCTATAGACCTCTATATATATATATGTATATGTAAAATAACCTTCTTAAACCGAACAGCACAAGTGAAAGCGGCCAAACTGGGCAATTCCAAGCTTATTCGTGCTGGCTGCTGCTGCGACGGTCCACGGATCCGGCGACTAGCTCCTAGCCTGCAGTACGAAAGCTACTCCAGGGAACCAGAGCCAACCCCCAGTCTTGTCTGTAGCCACTCCAGGGAACCAGAGCCAACTCCCAGTCTTGGCCGCTCTGTAGCCACAAAACCCAGGGCAGTGTAGCGGCCGCAGAGCCAGAAAGCTGTAAGCAACCAGGGCTTCAAGTCGTCGCAGCTAGGCGAAGTAAGTAGCGGCTCATCAACCGCCATTCCATCATGCTGCCTTGGCTTTCGGGGTTTGTTAGTTTTGTATAATTAGGGTCTAGTTTAGGGTTTAGGGTTATGTGAAGCATATGGAAAATAATCGAAGAAGCTGAGTTGCAGGGTGAGGCAACACATAACAGTTTCCATTGCCCTATGCAGTCTTCGTCTTGGAAGGTATGAAAAGCTCGCGGGTTTACCCGCTCCCAGGCCGCGATCTCGCTGATATGGCGAAGCATCTTAGTATACACATAGTACAAGACACATAGTATACATGACTTCCCAGGTTTCGGCACTTATCCCTCGGGCTCCAACAGGTTTAAAGTAGGTACCAAACCACGAGGAGCCCCAGGGTATATATATATATATATTGAAGAAAAGAAAAAGTAGAACATTAGGACTTAGGGTTTAGGGTATTTCTAAAAAGAAAAAGTAGAACATTAGGACTTAGGGTTTAGGGCCAGGGTATTTAAGAAAAGAAAAAGTAGAACATTAGGACTTAGGGTTTAGGGTTTAGGGTGTATTTAAAAAAAAACTAGCAAAACATTTGCTACATTTGCAGCGAGGGATCGTGGTGTTTCGGTAAGATCTTCCATCGAAACTCGCCTCTTTGGCAAGCCAGTTGGGCCAAACCATGGTAGAGGCGAAGGAATTCGTCACCGGTTTGCAGCAGCCGTTGTCCAGTGGCAGGGTCTATGAACCGCCGGGGTGCATTTTCCTGGATCTGGAACCAGAGAAGCAACGAGTGCGTGCATCTCTCAGCGAGTCGCAGCTCCAAGTCGGGATTCGGACCCTTTGCGACAGCAGCTCGGAGGCATGCCGAAAGGAACCCCAAGAAAAGCCTGCCGTTGAAGGCTTTTAAAGTGAGCACCGGGTAGCTGCCTGCAGTGCTTGCATCGACCAACATGTTCGGAGTCAGGAACGGCACTGAATGAACAAGTCGGTGAGCACTGGCATACTGCTTGAATCGCAAAGATGCCGTGTGCAATGCCACTGCGGGCTCTGTGGAGCCGAAGAAGCCAGCCTTCACCAGCATATCCACCACTGAGCCGCTAAGCACCTGCAACACTCCAAGGTTGACCACATGCATACTGCAAGGACGAATCTGTGTCGCAGCATTGAAGACCCCAGCAGTCAAGTCCGTAGCCAGCGGATTTCGCAGAGAGGGGTTCATGCAATCCGAAATGATTTCCTGAGCAGATCGGCGGACGAACTGTCGAGTCAAATCGGTCGCATACCTTGGTTTAGCTTGAGCCAGGGTTTAGGATTTAGGGTTTTGGGGTTTAGGCCAGGAAACTATACACTTAGTGTTAGGGTTTAGGATTTAGGGTTTTGGGGTTTAGGCCAGGAAACAATAAACTTAGTGTTTTCAGCAATAAGTGCCGAAGCCTAGGAAAAATATACATAGCTTTGATGGTATCTCGATCGAGTAGCGAGCAGGGCCCGCTCTTGGAAGCCACACAAACGTGGCAAAGGCGAGTGGCCTTGTACGAAGCACTCAGGTTCCAATGCTCGTAATGGAACTTCCAATCTCCACGATATTCGCAGAGTACTGCTCTGGGTCCTGCAAGTTCGACATCAATCGTGATGAAGTCCCTCGAATCGATCTAGTTCTTTCAATACCCAAAAACACTAAAAGCTTTGGGTTTGGGATTCCCGGGGTTGTCCTTTGATCGGTTCCCCGGCTCGCTTGGCTGTCGAGCCGTCGAAGGAAACCGCCGGGTTGACACCAGATACGAGTATCTGGGATGGTCAACTATTTTGGGGGTATAGCTATAGGATTGTGAAGCTTCGGTCCGAAGCCTTTGCTGAGAATCGGATGGTCAGCTAGCTGTTTCGGTGTAGCGAGGATTCGGCAGCAGGTTTGCGGAGATTCGGATTGTCAGCTGTTTGGGTGTAGCTAGCTATAGGACCGTGAGGCCCAGGCCCTAAGTATAAGCTAGATAGTTTGCCAAGATTACCAATACTGGTAAAGTCAAAAATAATTCAGGCAAGAAGCATTGAAACTCCAAGCCATGACTCGCAGTGCTGGGGCCCAGGTCCGCAAGCCGTAGGAAATATATTCCCGGATCGTCATGACGGGGTAGCGTTTCATCTGCCCACCTGCAAGCTTTTCTGAGCCTATAGAAAAATGATCCTTTGATTTATTTAATAATTATGAAATAATTCAAAGGATCATTTTTCTATAGGCTCAGAAAAGCTTGATTAACACTAATTAATTATAATATAAGAAACTAGAACTCATGCTATATGCGATTTGAGCCTCCTTCTGTATTGTTCAACAAAATGTTGAAGGTAAAAAGCGTGATCTTGTCACCGGCTTTGTTAAACCTTGCATCGTCCCCCCACCACCCAAGTGGAATCATCTGCTCAGCCGCACCCAGTGGCGGGCTTTCCTGGGCTTCCGAAGCAAGTTTCCAGAAAGTCTTGATGTCCTCAGGATCCACTCGAATGCGGCCAGTCTCCTGGGATACGATTGCAACTGGGCACTCCATTGTTCTTGCAGGTTTGAGCTAAGCTATGAAATTTATCAAAGTCGAGAATATTGTGTTAAAGGATCTAGCTTTGCTTTCGGTTCGGGCTGTTTCGGCGCTATTATTGCTGTTGGGTGTTCCTAGGGTTTGAGGTTGAAATTAAACTTGGGGTTTGGATTAATAGACACAGCTGAGTGGCATACAAGTATTGGTAAAGCTCGTGAGGCAAGACCATGGGAAGTTTCATCGTCGTTTCAGTTTTCCTGTCTTTGGCATCTTTGCAGGGGACGTCGACGAAGTGCAAGTCCTTGATTTCGGGAGCAGGGCTTAAATCATGATCAGGATACAAGTAAGACGACTTGCACTATCCGGTTAATACCAGCTATCTAAAAGCAACAAAGAAAAGTAATTCGACCCAGCGGCTACGGGGAGGCCTAGGGCCCGGCTTATGTCTCTCTGACAGTTCTGCTTGTACCGGCCGCTAGAGCCAGCTTTGGCTATTTTGTGTGTGATCGGGGAAGCATGCCCCTTCGCCTCGCGAACCATAGCGGAGGCTGCAGCTTGTATTCCAGCAGCTGAATTAGCCTGGGCAGCGGGCATATGTTACTTCGGATATTGGGGGCAAAGCTATCGGGGTTTAGGGTTGAGCTCGAGGATTTTGGGGTTTAGGTGGGAGTCTGGGGTGCATACAGCCAAAGAGCCCCCGTGCCCAAGGACTTGAGGAGGTAGTCCGCAAAAGCTGTTTCATCACCTGCGAGGGGGCACTGATATAGATCTAGACTAAGCACTAGCATCATAACTCCAGGATACGATTCCAATCGTTGTATTTTTCACCGCCGAAGACTGGTGGCCAGGATCGAACAGCAAGCCCGAAGCACATGATAAGGCTTGCCCCAGCCGAGAAAACTAGAAATCATGATCATGGCCGCATCAGCACACCCTGCAGCTTCCCCTGCACTGCTTCGCAACACAGCAGCCGTGTACGATCCCCTATGTTTGTAGGCTAGAACACAGTAGGCTATACTGAGGGTTCGGGGTTGGACATCGTACCTAGCGAATCTCTAGATTTGCTAAATAACACCAGGCCTATTTAGGGTTTAGGTTTAAGGGCCAGGGTTTTGGGCCAGTTTTGGGTTTAACCCCATCGAACAGTACTGTTAGGGACCATAGGCTTTGGTTCTAGAGGGGACCTTGCTATCGGCTAGTGCCTTGCATGCAGTGAAGCCACCGTTGCTACAAGGTTCCAGTGCTACGGCTCGCAGATCGACGAACACTTAAAAAGAAGTTTCTGCCTCTACCTCTTAGCGGTCTTGGCTTTACCCTTGGGCTTTGCCTTTCCCTTAGCACCAGCTTCCCCCGCTTTCTTCACGGGTCGGAGATGCATTTGCACGTGCTTCGCCCCAGTCTTGAAACTAGAGTTCGCTTGTCCAAGGCCATGGATACGGTCCTCCAGTTCCTGACCCACGGTGCCGGTGGCGAGTGCCTCCTGCAACGAGTAGGGGTTGTAGCATTAGAGGATCATGGGGTTGGGGTATTAATAATATATACAGTCAGAATTTAAAAAAAATACGGGTGCCCTGAACTTTAACAGATTATTGTAGCCCCAATCCTCCACGAGCCCGACATGCTTCTGGATAGCGGCGTTGTGAACATTCATCCCCAAGCACAGTGCATCGATGAGAGCTTCCTGCCTTAAGTACAACATAATAATAGTTAACTACATATAGGATTCACGGTTTCTTGTGGGTTTTGGATTTTGGAGGGCGTGGGGATTAGGTTCGTTTGGCCTTGGGGTTTACCGGGTAGAGCTGTATAGCAGCTCCATGGAGATTAAATATAATGCAGGAATTATTGGTCTCGGGGCCGAGACTCTTAGAGTTCTTATGGTTTAGGGCATGTATATTATAGCCGGGAGACACATTGTTGGCGACAAGCTTGCTCCGGTAGCCTCTGATGGTGAGCAGGTTGGAGTTGCCCAGCTGAATAGCCTGAATATATATTGTTGCAAAGCTAAAGAAAAAAAGCATTCCATTAGTAATTAAGAAACCTTTAATATATATAGAGAGAGTATGCCTAGTGCAAACCGGGAACACTCTTTGCAAGAGACTCTGTCGTCTTGGCTTTGATTTTGCGAACCTCGTTCTTTTGATTCTCCCGTCGCTGGTCCTGCTCGTTCATCTCGGTGCCACCCGTACTGTCATGCTGAGGAGCCAAAGCTTCCCTTTCGTACGAAAAGCTGATGGAATCTACCTCCAATTCGATCTCCTTGGCCCCAGACCAGCATTTGTAGAGGCGTTGTTCCCGCCTCACCTCCTCCTGATAGGGTCCAGGGGTTTGGGCTTAGGGTTTGAGGTTTAGGGCGTAGGGCTTAGGGTTTAGGGTTTAGGGATACATTTATTTTGCAAGTACACTTCGCCTAGGCTTTATGCTCCAATAAAAAATTAGCTAGCACATACAGTCCAGTCGAAGCCTTGGCGTTCCGGAAGTCGGGGTGTTCCATCCACATCGAGCTGTCTGATTCCTTGGCAATATTAAGGGATTAGGGTTTAGGGTTGAGGCTCGGGGTCTTCAGGTGTTCTTTTTAACTATATATATATATATATATATATATATATATAGTTAAAAAGAACACCTCAAGACCCCGAGCATATAGGCGATAAGGACTTAAGTGGTATCCACTTTAGGACTTAGGGCGGCCTTGTCCGCGATCAGAAGCTCCACGGTGTCCGGGTTGTACTTGTCGAGCAGGTCCTGAGATGAAGGAGACACCGAGTGTAATTATATGTAGATAATTAAATGTAAAACATGCTAAGTCGTTATTCTTGAAATTTCGTTCTAGCATAGGGGATTCTAGGAATATCTCGTGTCCGAACTACATCATGTACTAGTTCATTCAAGTATCTTTCCTGCTCCACCATTCGTGGGTGCCCTCTCGAGTCAAGCTCCTCGTCCAACGGTGAATTGCTGTGACCCTGGATTGCCCCCAGTTTTCTCCACTGAGGACATATTCCTTGAAAAGGTCCGCAATCCGCTTCGCATCTTAGCTCAGCTCACAATATGCACACAAAACCGTATCGCGAAGGCTAACCCTGAAGCCAGCTTTAAAAAATAGCACATAATTTAGAATAACATCCACTCTACTAGGAAACTTGTATGCATCTGAGGCGAGCAGCCCTTCTTCCCCTGGTGTGCTTTCTTCCACTCTGCAAGCACCGCTGGAGGGCAGGATGCACCTGGCCATAATATAGCTGGCTGCTCGCTTTTTCATATAAACCCGAAAACCGAACCCTAGCTATGAAATCAAGACCCTGTAATTCCAATAACCCTGTGGGTTCACCCGTTGGCCTTCATAGCTTCGTAAGTACCGCATGTAGACCACCCGTCGCGAGCTTTCCTGCAGTCACGTTTTGTGGTTTACACTATGGGTCGGGGCCGGGGTTTAAAGATATAGGTAATTAAAGAAATAGTATGTCTAGCTAGGAGTCGAAGGCTTTTTTATTCGTCTTAATTCCGGTCCTGGGCTTCCTCCTCGGTCATGGTTGCCATCTGAAGGGCCTTCTGAGTTGCCTCTTCCACGTTGCTTTGGGCGGGCGGCGTGCTCCCCTGGCCCGTCGAAGGCATTGCCGGCATGTTCACATCCGTGGTCGGCTTCTCCTGTGTCGTCTGCTGCTGCACAGCAAGCTGGTCTCCAGCAACACCAGTTGGAGCCTCAAAATGCTGTGCCAAGGCCGCAAAGTCGCTCGTGTTCGCCCGTGCTAGTTGCTGTGACAAGGCCTGAAAGTCGCCTGTGTTCCCGGTGGGGTCGGCAAGGGAACGTCTGTAGAGCTGCAGCTGCTCGATCATCTGCGAGACACGGTCGATTTCGCCACCCTGAGCTGGGTTCGGCAAACCGGGGTTCTGGCTTGCAACCTGGGACTGCGAAGCTTGTGGCACTGCTGGGTTCGGCACTGTAGCTGGGTTCTGGCTTGCAACCAGGGACTGCGAAGCTTGCGGCACTGCTGGGTTCGGCACAGTAGCTGGGTTGTGGCTTGCAACCGGGGACTGCGAAGCTTGCGGCACTGCTGGGTTCGGCACAGCGGGGTTCTGGCTTGCGACCGGGGACTGCGAAGCTTGCGGCACTGCTGGGTACAGTAGCTGGGTTCTGGCTAGCAACCGGGGACTGCGAAGCTTGCAACACTGCTGGGTTCGGCACACCGGGGTTCTGGCTTGCAACCGGTAGGGACTGCGAAGCTTGCGGCAGTGCTGGGTTCGGCTCACTGGTGTTCTGGATTGCAATCGGGGCCTGCAAAGCTGTGTTCGGCACAGCAGGGTTATGGCTTGCACAGAAGGGTGGCACTGCTGGGTTCGGCGTCACAACCGGGGTCTGCGAAGCTGCCACTGCTGGGTTTTGCAAAGCACCGGGGTTCTGGCTCACAACCGGGGCTTGCGAAGCTGCCACTGCTTGGTTCGCCAAAGCACCAGTGTTCTGGCTCACAACCGGGGCTTGCGAAGCTGCCACTGCTGGGTTGAGGAAAGCACCGGCGTTCTGGCTCACAACCGGGGCTAGCGAAGCTGCCTGGGTTCACCGAAGCACCGGCGTTCTGGCTCACAAACTGGGCTTCTGAAGCTGCCACTGCTTTTTGCAAAGCACCGGTGTTCTGGCTCACAACCGGGCACGGGGCTTGCGAAGCTGCCATTGCTGGGTTCACCAAAGCATTGGGGTTCTGGATTGTAACCGGGGGCAGTGAAGCTGCCACCGAGGGGTCGACACCGGAGTTCTGCACTGCTACTTCCACCAAAGCACTGGATTTCTGGTCCTCTGAGATCTCATCAGAGAAATCGAGGATCTCGTCGATATCTCGCTGCGTAGCCACAGCTACTTCATCGATTTCCATGGGCTCCAGCTGGGTCGGCTTGGCCTGATAAGTAACTAACACTAGCATTATACATGTTATTATAATCAATAGGAATAAGAAGGTGTTCTTATAATTAGTATGATGTGGGAGTGGGGGCTGAGGATTAATGTGAAACATCTATTGGGC